AGCAAAATATCCAAAATGTCTACAAGATGTTATAGAGGGAGATGTTGTTGGTTCAGGCTACTGTTCCCTTGTTAAACAGTTACAAAACAGAACTGAAAATGTGAGGCGCGGTTCAACACCTAAAATAAGAAAAAGAAGACATGCGACCGATGACTGGGATCACACAGATGAGATCCTTCAGAAGAGAAATGCAGGACATTTATGGGTGCATTAAGTGGAATGTCAAATTTCTGCCCATTGGAGAAACTCAAGAGTCAGAAGCAAAAGATGGAAAAACTCAAAGCAATGTTCCAACATTCATCTGAGGCCAACTGGAAGAGATCAAAAATCTAATGAAGTCCACTTTTTACACACAGCACCAACAGGTCAACCAGGGAAAAAGTATCAAATACCTCAGAGAGGAGGGGCCATTTTTGTTTGAACTTGGTGTGTCTGTCCACTTCAAGGAACTCACTGGGATTGACCTTAAAGAGACATTCACTCGAAGTTTGGATTTGAAGGGGAAAAGGCTTCTCAACTACATGACAACAGTTTGTGTCAACAAGAGTAAGAAGTTCCTTCAGACTTACGCTCGGCTTCAGAGGATGTGAGGACAGCAGCTGCTCAGATGATGTGAAAGAGATGGTCCTGCTTCTGCTCGGCTGCTTTGATGAGAAGGAGGAGTCCTTGTTCTTCTATGTAGAAGATACATGTCTGGCAGAAGAAGTCCAGCTGGAGCAAGTGCCTGTGACACCAGCTGTTATTGTCTGTTTCATATCTTTTAATTGCAGTTTATAGAATTTGTCATGTGTGTGGTGTTTATTAAAATACCCTGTTTAATTTTGTATTCATAGGAACATCCTGCTTTTCTTCAGTGAGGTACATGCTGAGTCTGGATCAGAACCTTAACACAAACATCTCCTCCTTCATTTCTGCCTGATGTTTGGGAGCTACTATTGTTTTCACATCCATTCTCCATCTGAGCTGGGTTCAACTCTTGAGTTTCTTCAAAGGTGAGTAAATATGACTGACACATTTCTTAATACTGAGATCGATACCTGGACTCAGACCCAGACTTTACTCTGGGTCTGAGTCCAGTCCTGCGCTGGGACTGTTACTCTGGGACCTAAAATGACAGATTTGTGTTTTAAACATTCATTTTATTCGAAAATATATTTTGTAGTTTATTTATTTATTTTATTCTGATAAATAAAAATGTTTAATATGCAGTATTTTATTTTATAGGTGTTTTTTCTTGATTAAACCCGGAAAAAGGAACCAAAGTGGAGAGTAAAAACTCAAAGCGTCGTCTCAGTGTAAACCCTCGAGTCCTCACCCTCGAGTCCTCACCCTCGAGTCCTCACCCTCGAGTCCTCACCCTCGAGTCCTCACCCTGATACAAGATCTCTGATCACGAGTGGCGGGAGGATAAACATCTGTCTGATGGAGTCTTTGGAATCTCTTTGGACTCTGTGTTTGTTTGAGAAGAGGTACCGGACGTTTTTGCCTTGTTAAATCTACAGTGTGATTTATGTTAAATAAAGCATAATGTCATTGATTTAACCATCATGTTCTCCTCAGGGTCACATTGACCTGAGGAAAAAAAAAACATTTTCCTTTCCTCTCTCTTGGTGCGGGTCAGTCAAACCCAAAAATGTATTTTCTCGCCTGGCGAGAATTTATTTGAAAATACATGTTTGGGTCTGATAGACCCGCCCCAAGAGAGCGGGAAGGAAAAAAAACAATTCTTCGGGACAATGTGACCCCCAGCACGAGGGTTGTAAATGTTAATTTTAAAGTCATTTTAAGAGTTCTGTTTTAGCAAGTAAACACAATTGTAATTTGGTTGTTGTGTGCCTGGCACTTGAAACTTGTTTTAATACTGTAAAATGACTCATTCAATAGATCAATGAGTGAAAATCAGTCACATGTTTGATATTGTTAAAACACCATGAGAATGCATTGTTTGAGTAACTGAAAAAAACTCTGCAATAATGAGACTATCTTCAAACTTCCATTCAGTGGTTTCTTTGAATGCAATTTTTGTTCTATATGCTGAAAAAAATCTAATTGTTTACAACTTGTTACTATATTGAGACTATTGTTAAATACATGTTTTAAGTGATATTTTTCTTGTCATGTATTATTGCATGTTTTGGTAATGATTACAGTAGTAGCAGTAGAATTTATGATCTTGCAGGTTTAACAGGTCATTTTTACAGTTCAACTGTATTATTTAAACATAAAAATACTGCGTTTATGAGTAGATTTTATATAAAAAATTACAGAAAAGCTTAATTTAAAATATAAACTTTTACTGTCGTTTTACCAGCTTAAACTTTTTTTTGTGTGAAATATTTCCCTGTTAATTTGACAAGAAATCAGTGCACAAAAAACATTTATGTTATGTAGAAAATACAGGAAAGGATGTATAATAAGCATTTTTTTCATGTTAAAAATACAGGAAGGTGTCTATTTATTTACAACACAGTTATGCAAAATTAACAACTTTTTTGTGTAGATTTCACAGATTTTAAATGTGATTCAACCGTGATTTCAAAAACTGTAAACTGATTTACATTGTTCTCTGTAAAGTTATTAACTGTATTACTGTATTTTTTACAGGAAAGCTCTGGTGACCCCAGCTGCCAGCGGTTTCCTGTAAACATGACGGATTTTTTTTTACAGTGTACTGACCAGAGTCTAACCGACCATTTTTAAGCAAAATTTTAGAAAAACTTGTTTTTATTCAACTAAATTATTTTTTAGATGATCATAACATTTTGGAAAAATGTGAGTCTGGTTTTAGGGTGAACCACAGCACCGAGACCCGTCCTGGCAAAGATTTTAAATGATTTTAGATTAAATTATGATTCACAGAAGGAGACCGTGTTGGTTCTACTGGATCTGAGCGCTGCCTTTGACACAGTAGATCACACTATTCTTTAAACTCGCCTAAAACACCTCGGCCTCTCAGCTGCTGTTCACAGGTGGTTCACATCCTCACAGACAGAACATTTATGGTGAGTGTCGACACATGCTCCTCCAGGGTCCATAAAATCACATGTGGTGTGCCCCAGGGCTCCATTTTAGGCCCTGTGCTTTTTAATTTGTACATGCTCCTCTTGGTGATGTCATCAGGAGACATGGAATCAACTTCCACAGCTACGCAGATGATACGCAGCTTTACATCTCCATGTCTCCTGATGACACCAGACCAATGGAGGCTCTTTTTAACTGCATTCTACAAATCAACTCCTGGATGGGAGAAAACTTCCTCCAGCTTAACCAGGACAAAACTGAGGTTTTAGTCATTGGTCCTGAGGCCCAGAGAGACAAACTTTTACCCAAACTACAAACCCGTGTCTCTGTGTCCTCGTGTCTCTGTGTCCTCGTGTCTCTGTGTCCTCGTGTCTCTGTGTCCTCGTGTCTCTGTGTCCTCGTGTCTCTGTGTCTCTGTGTCTCTGTGTCCTCGTGTCTCTGTGTCTCTGTGTCCTCGTGTGTGTGTCTGTGTCTCTGTGTCCTCGTGTCTCTGTGTCTGTGTCTGTGTCCTGTGTCTCTGTGTCCTCGTGTCTCTGTGTCTCTGTGTCCTCGTGTCTCTGTGTCTCTGTGTCCTCGTGTCTCTGTGTCTCTGTGTCTCTGTGTCCTCGTGTCTCTTGTGTCTCTGTGTCCTCGTGTCTCTGTGTCCTCGTGTCCTTGTGTCTCTGTGTCCTCTGTGTCCTCTGTGTCCTCGTGTCTCTGTGTCTCTGTGTCCTCGTGTCTCTGTGTCTCTGTGTCCTCGTGTCTCTCGTGTCTCTGTGTCCTCGTGTCCTCTGTGTCCTCTGTGTGTCCTCGTGTCTCTGTGTCCTCTGTGTCTCTGTGTCTCTGTGTCCTCTGTGTCCTCGTGTCTCTGTGTCCTCGTGTCTCCTCTGTGTCTCTGTGTTCTCTGTGTCCTCTGTGTCTGTGTCTGTGTCCTCCGTGTCCTCGTGTCCTGTGTCTCTGTGTCCTCGTGTCTCTGTGTCCTCGTGTCTCTGTGTCTCTGTGTCCTCGTGTCTCTGTGTCCTCGTGTCCTCTGTGTCTCTGTGTCCTCGTGTCTCTGTGTCCTGTGTCTCTGTGTCCTCGTGTCTCTGTGTGTGTCTCTGTGTCTCCGTGTCTCTGTGTCTGTCTCTGTGTCCTCGTGTCTCTGTGTCCTCGTGTCTCTGTGTCTCTGTGTCCTCGTGTCTCTGTGTCCCTCGTGTCTCTGTGTCCTCGTGTCTCTGTGTCCTCGTGTCTCTGTGTCCTCGTGTCTCTGTGTCCTCGTGTCTCTGTGTCCTGTGTCTCTGTGTCTCTGTGTCCTCGTGTCTCTGTGTCCGTCTCTGTGTCGTGTCTCTGTGTCCTCGTGTCTCTGTGTCTCTGTGTCCTCGTGTCTCTGTGTCTCTGTGTCTCTGTGTCTCTGTCTGTGTCCTCGTGTCTCTGTGTCTCGTGTCTCTGTGTCCTCGTGTCTCTGTGTCCTCGTGTCTCTGTGTCCCCGTGTGTCTCTGTCTCTGTGTCTCGTGTCTCCTGTCTGTGTCTGTGTCTCTCGTGTCTCTTGTTCTCGTGTCTCTGTGTCTCTGTGTCCTCGTGTCTCTGTGTCTCTGTGTCCTCGTGTCTCTGTGTCTCTGTGTCCTCGTGTCTCTGTGTCCTCTCTGTGTCCTCGTGTCTCTGTGTCTCTGTGTCCCCGTGTCTCTGTGTCCCCGTGTCTCTGTGTCAGATTTACACAAAACCAACGATTTGTCCAAATTTATACAAGAAATGTCCAAGTGAACCAGAACTAAACCAGGACTAAACCAGGTGCTGTCTCCTTTCTCTTCCTGCGGGGGGCGCTGTCTCTTGTCTCTTGTTGTCTCTTGTCTCCTGTTGTCTTTTGTCTCCTTTGTCTTTTGTCTCCTGTTGTCTCTTTGTCTGTCTCTTGTCTTTTGTCTCCTGTTGTCTTTTGTCTCTTGTTGTCTTGTCTCCTGTTGTCTTTTGTCTCTTGTCTTTTGTCTCTTGTCTTTTGTCTCTTGTTGTCTCTTGTCTCTTGTCTCTTGTCTCCTGTTGTCTTTGTCTCTTGTCTTTTGTCTCTTGTCTTTGTCTCCTGTTGTCTTTTGTCTCTTGTTGTCTCTTGTCTTTTGTCTCTTTGTCTTGTCTCTTGTTCCTGTTGTCTTTTGTCTCTTGTGTCTCTTTGTTGTTTGTCTCTTGTGTCTTTTGTTGTCTCTTGTTTTGTCTCTTGTCTCTTGTCTCTTGTGTTTTTGTCTCTTGTCTCTTTCTCTTGTCTCTCTTGTCTCTGTTGTCTTTGTCTCTGTCTTTGTCTTTGTTGTCTTTTGTCTCTTGTCTCTGTTGTCTTGTCTTCTCTTTGTCTCTTGTCTCTTGTCTCTGTTGTCTCTTGTCTGTCTCTTTGTCTTCTTGTCTCTTGTTGTCTTGTTGTCTTTTGTCTCTTGTTGTCTTTGTCTCTTGTCTCTGTTGTCTTTTGTCTTTGTTGTCTTGTTGTCTCGTTTCTCTGTCTCTTGTTGTCTCTTGTCTCTTGTCTCCTGTTGTCTTTTGTCTCTTGTCTTCTTGTCTCTTTGTCTTTTGTCTCTTGTTGTCTCTTGTCCCTGTTGTCTTTTGTCTCTTTGGCTCTTGTCTCTTGTCTTGTCTCTTGTCTCGTTGTCTTTTGTCTTGTCTCTTGTCTTTGTCTTTTGTCTCTTGTTGTCTCTTGTCTCTTGTCTCTGTTGTTTTTTGTCTCTTGTTGTGTCTCTTGTCTCTTGTCTGTCTCTTGTTCGTCTCTTTTGTCTCTTGTCTGTTGTCTTTTGTCTCCTCTTGTTCTTGTCTCTTGTCTCTTGTCTCTGTTGTCTTTTGTCTCTTGTCTGTTTTTTCTCTTGTTGTCTCTTGTCTCTTTGTCTCTTGTTGTCTCTTGTCTCCTGTTTGTCTCTGTTGTCTCTTGTTGTCTCTTTGTCTCTTGTGTCTCTTGTCTTGTCTTCTTGTCTCTTGTCTTGTCTTTTGTCTCTTGTCTTTTGTCTCTTGTCTTTTGTCTCTTGTTGTTTCTTGTCTCTGTTGTCTTTTGTCTCTTGTTGTCTCTTGTCTCCTTTGTCTCTGTTTTTGTCTTGTCTTTGTCTCTTGTCTTTTGTCTCTTGTCTGTCTTTTGTCTCTCTTTTGTCTCTGTTGTTGTCTTTCTTTTGTCTCTTGTTGTCTCTTGTCTCCTGTTGTCTTTTGTCTCTTGTTGTCTCTTGTTTTCTCTTGTCTCTTTTGTTCTCTTGTTCTTGTGTCTCTTGTTGTCTCTTGTCTCTTGTCTCCCTGTTGTCTTTTGTCTTTGTCTTTTGTCTCTTGTCTCTTGTCTTGTCTTCTTGTCTTTTGTCTCTTGTCTCTTGTCTCTTGTCTCTTGTCTCTTTGTCTTTTGTCTCTTGTTGTCTCTTGTTGTCTTTTTCTTGTCTCTTTGTCTCTTGTCTTGTCTTTTGTCTCTTGTTGTCTCTTGTCTTGTCTCCTGTCTTTTGTCTTTGTTCCTCCTGTTGTCTCTTGTTGTCTTCTTTGTCTCCTGTTCTTTTGTCTCTTTGTTGTCTCTTGTCTTTTGTCTCTTGTTGTCTCTCCTTGTCTCCTGTTGTTTTTGTTCTCTTTTCTTTGTCTCTTGTTGTCTCTTGTTGTCTTCTTGTCTTTTGTCTGCTTGTCTGTTTGTCTCTGTTGTCTCTTTGTCTCTTGTCTCTTGTCTCTTGTCTTTTGTTTTGTCTCTTGTTGTCTCTGTCTTTTTGTCTCTTGTTGTTTCTTGTCTCTTGTCTTCTGTTGTCTTTGTCTCTTGTCTCTTGTCTTTGTCTCTTTGTTCTTTGTTGTCTCTTGTTGTCTCTTTTGTCTCTTGTCTCTTGTCTCCTGTTTTGTCTCTTGTCTCTTTGTCTTTTGTCTCTTTGTCTCTTTCTGTCTCTTGTCTTTTGTCTCTTGTCTTTTGTCTCTTTGTTGTCTCTCTTGTCTCCTTGTCTCCTGTTGTCTCTTTGTTGTCTTGTCTCTTGTCTTTTGTCTTGTCTTGTTGTCTTGTCTCTGTTGTCTCTGTTGTCTCTTGTCTTTTCTCTTGTCTCTCTTGTTGTCTCTTGTCTCTTGTCTTTTGTCTCTTGTTGTCTCTTTGTCTCTTGTCCTCCTGTTGTCTTTTGTCTCTTTTGTCTCTTGTCTTTGTCTCTTTTGTCTCTTGTTGTCTGTCTCTTTGTCTCTTTGTCTCTCTTGTCTTGTCTCTTGTCTTTTGTCTCTTGTCTTTCTTGTCTCTGTTGTCTCTTGTCTGTCTTTTGTCTTCTGTCTTTTGTCTTGTCTTTTGTCTCTTGTTGTCTCTTGTCTCTCTTGTCTTTTGTCTCTTTTTCTGTCTCTTGTCTCTTGTCTCTTGTTGTCTCTTGTCTGTCTTGTCTTTTGTCTCTTGTCTCTTGTCTTTTGTCTCTTGTCTCTTGTCTCTTTGTCTCCTGTTGTCTCTTTGTCTTTTTGTCTCTTGTTGTCTCCTGTTGTCTCTTGTCTCTTCCTGCGGGGGGCGCTGTCTCCTGAGCCGCCGCGCGCTTCCCGCTCTGCCCGATCCGTGACGTGCCCGATCCGCGGCGGAAGCGGCAGCTCGTCTCTTCCGGTCCCGGTCCAAGATGAACGCGCCTCCCGCCTTCGAGTCTTTCCTTTTGTTCGAAGGAGAGAAAAAAATCAGCATCAGCAAAGACACGAAAGTCCCGAACGCGTGTCTCTTCACCCTGAACAAGGAGGACCACACCCTGGGCAACATCATCCGAGCGTGAGTGTCCACGGGGACACGGGGACACACGCCGCGGCGGGGCACGGGACACGGGGAGGGACACGGGGACACACGCCGCGGCGGGGAGGGACACGGGGACACACGCCGCGGCGGGGAGGGACACGGGGACACACACGCCGCGGCGGGGAGGGACACGGGGACACACGCCGCGGCGGGGACAACAACAACAACAACAAGAACAACAAGAACAGCCGCGCGTGTCTCCGCCCGAACCAGGACACACATTTAACCACATTACGGAACATTTACAACACCGAACAACGTGTCCCCGAAGACGCGCATTTAACCCGAGAAGAGAGACAGAGAGACAGAGAGAGAGACAGAGAGGACAGAGAGAGAGACAGAGAGAGAGACAGAGAGACAGAGAGACAGAGAGAGAAGACAGAGAGAGAGAGAGACAGAGAGAGACAGAGAGAGACAGAGAGAGACAGAGAGAGAGACAGAGAGAGAGACAGAGAGAGACAGAGAGAGAGACAGAGAGAGAGACAGAGAGAGAGCAGAGAGAGAGAGAGAGAGACAGAGAGAGAGACAGAGAGAGACAGAGAGAGAGACAGAGAGAGACAGAGAGAGAGACAGAGAGAGACAGAGAGAGAGACAGAGAGAGACAGAGAGACAGAGAGAGAGAGAGAGACAGAGAGAGAGACAGAGAGAGAGACAGAGAGAGAAGAGAGAGAGACAGAGAGAGAGACAGAGAGAGAGAGAGAGACAGAGAGAGAGAGAGAGACAGAGAGAGAGACAGAGAGAGAGAGAGAGAGAGAGAGAGACAGAGAGAGAGACAGAGAGAGAGACAGAGAGAGAGAGAGAGAGAGAGACAGAGAGAGAGAGAGACAGAGAGAGAGAGAGAGAGACAGAGAGAGAGAGGACAGAGAGACAGAGAGACAGAGAGAGAGAGAGAGAGAGAGAGACAGAGAGAGAGAGAGAGAGAGAGAGACAGAGAGAGAGAGAGAGAGAGAGAGAGGAGAGAGAGGAGGAGAGAGAGACAGAGAGAGAGACAGAGAGAGACAGAGAGAGAGAGAGAGACAGAGAGAGAGAGACAGAGAGAGAAGACAGAGAGAGAGGACAGAGAGAAGAGAGAGAGACAGAGAGACAGAGAGACAGAGAGAGAGACAGAGAGAGACAGAGGACAGAGAGAGAGACAGAGAGGACAGAGAGACAGAGGACAGAGAGAAGACAGAGAGACAGAGAGACAGAGAGACAGAGAGAGCAGACAGAGAGAGAGAGAAGAGAGAGAGAGAGAAGACAGAGAAGACAGAGAGACAGAGGACAGAGAGAGAGACAGAGAAGACAGAGAGAGAGAGAGAGAGAGAGAGAGAGACAGAGAAGACAGAGAGACAGAGAGAGAGACAGAGAGAGAGACAGAGAGGACAGAGAGACAGAGAGAGACAGAGAGAAGACAGAGAGACAGAGAGACAGAGAGAGAGACAGAGAGACAGAGCAGAGAGACAGAGAGACAGAGAGACAGAGACAGAGAGAGAAGACAGAGAGAGAGACAGAGAGAGAGAGAGAAGACAGAGGACAGAGAGAGAGAGACAGAGAAGAAGACACAGAGAGAGGAGAGAGAAGACAGAGAGGACAGAGAGACAGAGAGAGAAGACAGAGAGAGACAGAGAGAAAGACAGAGGACAGAGAGAAGACAGAGAGACAGAGGACAGAGAGAGAGGAGAGAGAAGACAGAGAGAGAGAGAGAGAGAAGACAGAGAGAGAGAGAGAGAGACAGAGAGAGAGAGAGAGAGAGACAGAGAGAGAGACAGAGAGAGAGAGACAGAGAGAGAGACAGAGAGGAGAGAGATACAGACGCCATGTGGACTCACACTTCTCTAACATATCACATTATATAAACTATGTCCTTGTGTCCTCATGTCCTTGTTTCCTTATGTTCTTATGTCCTTGTGTCCTCATGTCCTTGTTTCCTTATGTTCTTATGTCCTTGTGTCCTCATGTCCTTGTTTCCTTATGTTCTCATGTCCTTGTGTCCTCATGTTCTTGTGTCCTTATGTTCTTGTGTCCTTATGTCCTCGTTTCCTTGTGTCCTCGTGTCCTTGTGTTCTTATGTCCTCATGTCGTGTCCTTGTGTCCTCATGTCCTCGTGTCCTTGTGTCCTCATGTTCTCATGTCCTCGTGTCCTCATGTCCTTGTGTCCTTGTGTTTTTGTGTCCTCGTGTCCTTGTGTCCTCATGTCCTTGTGTCCTCGTGTCCTTGTGTCCTCATGTCCTTGTGTCCTCATGTCCTTGTGTGTCCTTGTGTCCTCATGTCCTCGTGTCCTTGTGTCCTCGTGTCCTCATGTCCTCGTGTCCTTGTGTTCTTATGTCCTTGTGTCCTCGTGTCCTTGTGTCCTCATGTCCTCGTGTCCTTGTGTCCTCATGTTCTCGTGTCCTCCTGTCCTTGTGTTTTCGTGTCCTCGTGTCCTTGTGTCCTCATGTCCTTGTGTCCTCGTGTCCTTTGTGTCCTCGTGTCCTCGTGTCCTCATGTCCTTGTGTCCTTGTGTCCTCATGTCCTCGTGTCCTTGTGTCCTCATGTTCTCATGTCCTTGTGTCCTTGTGTTTTTGTGTCCTCGTGTCCTTGTGTCCTCATGTCCTTGTGTCCTCGTGTCCTTGTGTCCTCGTGTCCTTGTGTCCTCGTGTCCTCATGTCCTCGTGTCCTCGTGTCCTTGTGTCCTCGTGTCCTCATGTCCTCGTGTCCTTGTGTCCTCGTGTCCTCATGTCCTTGTGTCCTTGTGTCCTCATGTCCTTGTGTCCTTGTGAGACAGGCAGTTGCTGAAGGATCCTCAGGTTCTATTTGCTGGTTATAAAGTTCCTCATCCTCTGGAGCACAAGATCGTGATCCGAGTCCAGACACACCGGACTAACAGCCCCCAGGTACAGACCAAGACCAAGACCAGGACCAAGACCAGACTAAGACCAAGACCAAGACTACAGCCCCCAGGTACTAAGACCAAGACCAAGACCACACCGGACCTACAGCCCCAGGACTACAGACCAAGACCAAGACCAGGACTAAGACCAAGACCAGACCAAGACAAGACAAGACCAAGACCAACCAGGACCCCAGGTCAGACCACCAAGACCCCAGGACTACAGACAGACCAAGGACCAAGACCAGGACAGACTAAGACCAAGACCAAGACAAGACCAAGACCAAGACCAAGACCAGACTAAACCAGCCCCCAGGTACAGACCAAGACCAAGACCAGGACTAAGACCACACCGAGCCCCCAGGTACAGACAAGACCAAGACCAGGACTAAGACTAAGACCCAAGACCAAGACCAGGACTAAGACCAAGAAGACCAGCAACGGACTACAGCCCCCAGGTACAGACCAAGACCAAGACCAGGACTAAGACCAAGACTACAGCCCCCACAGACAAGACCAACTAAGACCACACCGGNTTTTGTCTCCTGTTGTCTCTTGTCTCTTGTTGTCTTTTGTCTTTTGTCTCTTTTGTCTCTTGTTCTCTTGTCTGTCTTGTCTCTTGTCTTTGTCTCTTTGTCTCTTTGTCTGTCTCTTTTGTCTTTTGTCTCTTGTCTTGTCTCTTGTCTTTTGTCTCTTGTTCTTTCTCTTGTCTGTCTCTGTTGTCTCTTGTCTTTGTCTCTTGTTGTCTTTTGTCTCTTGTCTTTTGTCTCTTGTTGTCTCTTGTCTCTTGTCTTGTCTCTTTTCTTTTGTCTCTTGTCTCTTTTGTCTCTTTGTCTCTTGTCTGTCTTGTTGTCTTTTGTCTCTCTTTTGTCTTTCTCTGTTGTCTTTTTGTCTCTTGTCTCTTTGTCTCCTGTTGTCTTTTGTCTCTTGCTGTCTGTCTCTTGTCTTTTGTCTTTGTCTCTTTGTCTCTTGTCTCTGTCTCTGTTGTCTCTTGTCTCTTTGTCTCTTGTCTCTTGTCTTTTGTCTCTTTTGTCTCTTGTGTCTCTTTGTCTTTTGTCTCTTGTCTTTTGTCTCTTTGTCTTTGTCTCTTGTCTCTTTGTCTTTTGTCTCTTTGTTGTCTCTTGTCTCGTTGTCTTTTGTCTCTTTGTCTCTTGTCTTTTGTCTCTTGTGTCTCTTGTGTCTCTTTGTCTTTGTCTCTTGTCTTTGTCTTTTGTCTCTTGTGTCTCTTTGTCTCTCTTTTGTCTCTTGTCTTGTCTTTTGTCTTTGTGTCTCTTGTGTTGTCTCTTGTTGGTCTTTGTCTCTTGTTGTCTCTTGTTGTCTCTTGTCTCTTTGTCTCCTGTTGTCTTTGTTCTTTTTGTCTCGTTGTCTTTTGTCTCTTGTCTTTTGTCTCCTGTCTTTTGTCTCTTGTTGTCTCTTGTCTCTTGTCTCTTGTCTTTTGTCTCTTGTTGTCTCTTGTCTTTTGTCTCTTTGTCTCTTGTCTTTTGTCTCTTGTTGTCTCTTGTCTTTTGTCTCCTGTTGTCTTTTGTCTCTTGTTGTCTCTTGTCTTTTGTCTCTTGTTGTTTCTTTTGTCTCTTGTCTCCTGTTGTCTCTTGTCTCTTTTGTCTCTTGTCTTTTGTCTCTTGTCTTTTGTCTCTTGTCTGTTGTCTTTTGTCTCTTGTTGTCTCTTGTCTCTCCTCTTGTCTGTCTCTTGTCTCTTGTCTCTGTCTTTCTCTTGTCTCTTGGGTCTTTGTCTGCGTCTGTCTCCTGAGCCGCCGCGCGCTTCCCGCTCTGCCCGATCCGTGACGTGCCCGATCCGCGGCGGAAGCGGCAGCTCGTCTCTTCCGGTCCCGGTCCAAGATGAACGCGCCTCCCGCCTTCGAGTCTTTCCTTTTGTTCGAAGGAGAGAAAAAAATCAGCATCAGCAAAGACACGAAAGTCCCGAACGCGTGTCTCTTCACCCTGAACAAGGAGGACCACACCCTGGGCAACATCATCCGAGCGTGAGTGTCACCGGGGACACGGGGACACGGGGACACACGCCGCGGCGGGGAGGGACACGGGGACACGGGACACACGCCGGGGCGGGGCGGGGAGGGACACGGGGACACACGCCGCGGCGGGGAGGGACACGGGGACACACGCCGCGGCGGGGAGGGACACGGGGACACACGCCGCGGCGGGGAGGGACACGGGGACACACGCCGCGGCGGGGACAACAACAACAACAACAACAAGAACAACAAGAACAGCCGCGCGTGTCTCCGCCCGAACCAGGACACACATTTAACCACATTACGGAACATTTACAACACCGAACAACGTGTCCCCGAAGACGCGCATTTAACCCGAGAAGAGAGACAGAGAGGACAGAGAGAGAGACAGAGAGAGAGAGAGAGAGAGAGAGACAGAGAGAGAGACAGAGAGAGAGAGAGACAGAGAGAGAGAGAGACAGAGAGAGGACAGAGAGAGAGACAGAGAGAGAGACAGAGAGAGAGACAGAGAGAGACAGAGAGAGAGGACAGAGAGAGAGAGAGAGAGAGAGAGAGACAGAGAGAGAGACAGAGAGAGAAGAGAGAGAGAGAGAGAGAGGACAGAGAGAGAGAGAAGACAGAGAGAGAGAAGACAGAGAGAGACAGACAGAGAGAGACAGAGAGAGAGACAGAGAGAGACAGAGAGAGAGACAGAGAGAGACAGAGAGAGACAGAGAGAGACAGAGAGCAGAGAGAGAGAGAGAGACAGAGAGAGAGACAGAGAGAGACAGAGAGAGACAGAGAGCAGAGAGAGAGAGAGACAGAGAGAGACAGAGAGAGAGAGACAGAGAGACAGAGAGAGAGACAGAGAGACAGAGAGAGAGAGAGAGAGGACAGAGAGAGAGAGACAGAGAGAGAGAGAGAGACAGAGAGAGAGAGAGACAGAGAGAGAGAGACAGAGAGAGAGAGAGAGACAGAGAGAGAAGACAGAGAGAGAGAGAGAGAGAGAGAGAGAGAGAGACAGAGAGAGAGAGAGAGAGAGAGACAGAGAGAGAGAGAGAGAGAGAGAGAGAGACAGAGAGAGAGAGAGAGAGAGAGAGAGAGAGAGAGACAGAGAGAGAGAGAGAGAGAGAGAGAGAGAGAGAGAGAGAGAGACAGAGAGAGAGACAGAGAGGACAGAGAGAGAGGACAGAGAGAGAGAGAGACAGAGAGAGAAGACACAGAGAGAGGACAGAGAGAAAGACAGAGAGGACAGAGAGACAGAGGACAGAGAGAAGACAGAGAGACAGAGGACAGAGAGAGAGACAGAGAGGACAGAGAGACAGAGGACAGAGAGAAGACAGAGAGACAGAGGACAGAGAGAGAGAGACAGAGAGGACAGAGAGACAGAGGACAGAGAGAGAGACAGAGAAGACAGAGAGACAGAGGACAGAGAGAGAGACAGAGAAGAGACAGAGAGAGAGAGGACAGAGAGAGAGACAGAGAGACAGAGAGACAGAGAGACAGAGAGAGACAGAGAGGACAGAGAGACAGAGGACAGAGAGAGGAGAGAGACAGAGAGACAGAGGACAGAGAGAGAGACAGAGAGACAGAGAGACAGAGGACAGAGAGAAGACAGAGAGACAGAGAGAGAGAGACAGAGAGAGAAGACAGAGAGAGGAGAGAGAAGACAGAGAGGACAGAGAGACAGAGAGAGAAGACAGAGAGAGAGACAGAGAGAAAGACAGAGGACAGAGAGAAGACAGAGAGACAGAGGACAGAGAGGAGAGAGAGAGAGAAGACAGAGAGAGAGAGAGAGAGAAGACAGAGAGAGAGAGAGAGACAGAGAGAGAGAGAGAGAGAGACAGAGAGAGAGACAGAGAGAGAGAGACAGAGGACAGAGAGACAGAGAGGACAGACACACAGACGCCATGTGGACTCACACTTCTCTAACATATCACATTATATAAACTATGTCCTTGTGTCCTCATGTCCTTGTTTCCTTATGTTCTTATGTCCTTGTGTCCTCATGTCCTTGTTTCCTTATGTTCTTATGTCCTTGTGTCCTCATGTCCTTGTTTCCTTATGTTCTCATGTCCTTGTGTCCTCATGTTCTTGTGTCCTTATGTTCTTGTGTCCTTATGTCCTCGTTTCCTTGTGTCCTCGTGTCCTTGTGTTCTTATGTCCTCATGTCGTGTCCTTGTGTCCTCATGTCCTCGTGTCCTTGTGTCCTCATGTTCTCATGTCCTCGTGTCCTCATGTCCTTGTGTCCTTGTGTTTTTGTGTCCTCGTGTCCTCGTGTCCTTGTCCTCATGTCCTTGTGTCCTCGTGTCCTTGTGTCCTCATGTCCTTGTGTCCTCATGTCCTTGTGTCCTCATGTCCTTGTGTCCTCATGTCCTCTCGTGTCCTTGTGTGTCCTCGTGTCCTCATGTCCTCGTGTCCTTGTGTTCTTATGTCCTGTCGTGTCCTTGTGTCCTCATGTCCTCGTGTCCTTGTGTCCTCATGTTCTCGTGTCCTCATGTCCTTGTGTTTTTGTGTCCTCGTGTCCTTGTGTCCATGTCTCCTCATGTCCTTGTCCTCGTGTCCTTTTCCTCATGTCCTTGTGTGTCCTCATGTCCTTGTGTCCTGTGTCCTCATGTCCTCGTGTCCTTGTGTCCTCATGTTCCTCATGTCCTTGTGTCCTTGTGTTTTTGTGTCCTCGTGTCCTTGTGTCCTCATGTCCTTGTGTCCTCGTGTCCTTGTGTCCTCGTGTCCTCGTGTCCTCGTGTCCTCATGTCCTCGTGTGTCCTCGTGTCCTTGTGTCCTCGTGTCCTCATGTCCTCGTGTCCTTGTGTCCTCGTGTCCTCATGTCCTTGTGTCCTTGTGTCCTCATGTCCTTGTGTCCTTGTGAGACAGGCAGTTGCTGAAGGATCCTCAGGTTCTATTTGCTGGTTATAAAGTTCCTCATCCTCTGGAGCACAAGATCGTGATCCGAGTCCAGACCACACCGGACTACAGCCCCCAGGTACAGACCAAGACCAAGACCAGGACCAGGACTAAGACCAAGACCAAGACTAAGACTAAGACCAAGACCAAGACCACACCGGACTACAGCCCCCAGGTACAGACCAAGACCAAGACCAGGACTAAGACCAAGACTAAGACCAAGACCAAGACCACTACAGCCCCAGGTACAGACAAGACCAAGACCAGGACTAAGACCAAGACAAGACCAGGACTACAGCCCCCAGGTACAGACCAAGACAAGACCAGGACTAAGACAAGACCAGACCACACCGGACTACAGCCCCCAGGTACAGACCAAGACCAAGACCAGGACTAAGACCAAGACCAAGACCAAGACCAAGACCAGGACTACAGCCCCCAGGTACAGACCAAGACCAAGACCAGGACTAAGACCAAGACCAAGACTAAGACTAAGACCAAGACCAAGACAAGACCACCGGACTAACAGCCCCCAGGTACAGACCAAGACCAAGACCAGGACTAAGACCACACCGGACTACAGCCCCCAGGTACAGACCAAGACAAGACCAAGACCAGGACTAGACCAGGACTACAGCCCCCAGGTACAGACCAAGACCAAGACCAGACTAAGACTAAGACCACACCGGACTACAGCCCCCAGGTACAGACCAAGACCAAGACCAGGACTAAGACCACACCGGACTACAGCCCCCAGGTACAGACCAAGACCAAGACCAGGACTAAGACCACACCGGACTACAGCCCCCAGGTACAGACCAAGACCAAGACCAGGACCAGGACTAAGACCACACCGGACTACAGCCCCCAGGTACAGACCAAGACCAAGACCAGGACTAAGACCACACCGGACTACAGCCCCCAGGTACAGACCAAGACCAAGACCAGGACTAAGACCAAGACCAAGACCACACCGGACTACAGCCCCCAGGTACAGACCAAGACCAAGACCAGGACTAAGACCAAAGACCAGGACTACAAGACGGACTACAGCCCCCAGGTACAGACCAAGACCAAGACCAGGACTAAGACCAAGACCACCAGGACTACAGCCCCCAGGTACAGACCAAGACCAAGACCAGGACTAGACCAGGACTACAGCCCCCAGGTACAGACCAAGACCAGACCAGGACTAAGACCAAGACCAAGACCAAGGACTAAGACCAAGACCACAAGACCGGACTACAGCCCCCAGGTACAGACCAAGACCAAGACCAGGACTAAGACCAAGACCAAGACCGGACTACAGCCCCCAGGTACAGACCAAGACCAGGACTAAGACCAAGACCAAGACCACACCGGACTACAGCCCCCAGGTACAGACCAAGACCAGGACTAAGACCAAGACCAAGACCAAGACCAGACCACCGGACTACAGCCCCCAGGTACAGACCAAGACCAAGACCAGGACTAAGACCACACCGGACCACAGACTACAGCCCACCAGGTACAAGACCAAGACCAGGACTAAGACCAAGACCAAGACAAGACCAGGACTAAGACCAAGACCACACAGCCGGACTACAGCCCCCAGGTACAGACCAAGACCAAGACCAGACTAAGACAAGACCACCCGGACTACAGCCCCAGGTACAGACCAAGACCAGGACTAAGACCAAGACCAAGACCACACGGACTACAGCCCCCAGGTACAGACCAAGACCAGGACCAAGACCAAGACCAAGACTAAGACCAAGACCACCGGACTACAGCCCCAGGTACACCAAGACCAGACCAGGACTAAGACCAAGACCAAGACCAGACTAAGACCAAGACCAAGACCACACCGGACTACAGCCCCCAGGTACAGACCAAGACCAAGACCAAGACCAGACCAAGGACCTAAGACCACACCGGACTACAGCCCCCAGGTACAGACCAAGACCAAGACCAGGACCAAGGACTAAGACCAAGACCAAGACCACCACCGGACTACAGCCCCCAGGTACAGACCAAGACAAGACCAAGACCAGGACTAAGACCAAGACCAAGACCACACCGGACTACAGCCCCCAGGTACAGACCAAGACCAGACCAGGACTAAGACAGGACAAGACCGGACTACAAGACCAAGACACACAGACTACAGCCCCCAGGTACAGACCAAGACCAAGACCAGGACTAAGACCACACCGGACTACAGCCCCCAGGTACAGACCAAGACCAGACCAGACCAGGACTAAGACCAGACCAAGACCACCGGACTACAGCCCCAGGTACAGACCAAGACCAGGACTAAGACCAAGACCAGACACCGACCAACCAGGACTACAGACCACCGACCAGCCCCCAGGTACAGACCAAGACCAGGACTAAGACCACACCGGACTACACCCCCAGGTACAGACCAGGACTAAGACCAGACCAAGACCACACCCCCAGGTACAGACCAAGACCAGGACTAAGGACTAAGACCAAGACCAAGACCACACCGGACTACAGCCCCCAGGTACAGACCAAGACCAAGACCAGGACTAAGACCAAGACTAAGACCAAGACCACACCGGACTACAGCCCCCAGGTACAGACCAAGACCAAGACCAAGACCAGGACTAAGACCAAGACCAAGACTAAGACTCAGACTAAGACCAGGACTAAGACCAAGACCAGGACTAAGACCAAGACCAAGACCACACCGGACTACAGCCCCCAGGTACAGACCAAGACCAGGACTAAGACCAAGACCAGGACTAAGACCAAGACCAGGACTAAGACCAAGACCAGGACTAAGACCAAGACCAAGACCACACCGGACTACGACCAAGACCAAGACTAAGACTAAGACCAAGACCAAGACCACACCGGACTACAGCCCCCAGGTACAGACCAAGACCAAGACCAGGACTAAGACCAAGACCAAGACCACACCGGACTACAGCTCCCAGGTACAGACCAAGACCAGGACTAAGACCAAGACCAGGACTAAGACCAAGACCAGGACTAAGACCAAGACCAGACCGGACTACAGCCCCCAGGTACAGACCAGGACCAGGACTAAGACCAAGACCAGGACTAAGACCAAGACCAGGACTAAGACCAAGACCAGGACCAAGACCAGGACCAGGACCAAGACCAGGACCAGGACTACAGTCCCCAGGTACAGACCAAGACCAAGACCAGGACCAAGACCAGGACCAGGACTACAGTCCCCAGGTACAGACCAAGACCAGGACCAGACTCAGGACTAGACTCTGTATATACAGTCCCTGACAAAAGTCTTGTTGTTTATCCATTTTGTAGAAACAAAAGTTTATAACTTGACTTTAAATGAATCGATTGGTTTTAGAAATGTCTCATATGAAGCTAAAACCCTCCCAAATTATGATCAATAAACTAAAATAAATGTTCTTCACTGAAGAAACATTGATCATTTAATGAACACAGAAAGGTCAGATTTTGGCAAGACAAAAGTTTTGTCGCCTACAGAAAATTGAACAAATAATTGACTTCAAATACAAAAATATGTTGCATAACGTCAGTGAATGAAGTAGTGGTGCTGTGAGATCAGATTTAATATCTTGTATGACTCCATGAGCTTGAAGGACACATCCATGTGGTTCCACAATGATTCATACAGTTTGTTGATGAAGTCATCAGGAATAGTAAAGAAAGCGTCTTACAGCCTCCCAGAGTTCATCAAGATTCTTTGGTTTTGTCTTCATGTTTCCTCTTTCATTCTACCCCAGACCTGCTCCATGATGTTCATGTCTGGTGACTGGACTGGTCAGTCCTGCAGCACCTTGATCTTCTTCACCTTGACAAACTTTGATGTAGAGATAGAAGTATGTGATGGAGCACCATCCTGCTGCAAAATCTGACCCTTTTATGGTTGGGAATGTAAGAGGAAGTTAATACTTCTTGATATTTTAGGTTATTGATATTTACCTTCCACCCTGCAAATGTCTCACACCCCCAGACTGGATGGAACCACAGACCAGGATTTTTCCACCACCAAACTTAACTGTTTTCTGGGTGAATCTTGGATCCATGTGGCTCCAGTTGGTCTCCTGCAATATTTGCGGCGGCTGTGATGTAATTCAACCGAGGATTCATCTGAGAAATCCACCTTCTGCCACTTTTCCAGTGTCCATCCTTTTATCAGGCTGTGGGCCTTGGCAAATGCCACACGGTTTTTTAATTGTCTTTTGTTTAGTGCTGGTTTCTGTGCACTGATTCGACCATGGAGGCCATTTCCAGACACAATTCTACAAACTGTTGTGGTGGACACAGGGACTTGAGGTGACCAGGCCTGGTGGAGTCTGCTGCAGTGGAAAAGGGGCCTTGGATTTTCCTCCAGAGCAGTTGTCTTGCGGCGTCTGCTGGACCTGGGCTTGTCAAAAACATCTCCAGTCATTTCAGATCTTTTTCTTCTTCTTTGTACTTGACGCTGAGACACATTGAAGGTGTCACCACCTCAGCAGTGGATCTGGTCTTCAGCCTCTTGATAATTAAGGCTTTGGTCTCAGGGTGGATCTGAGGCATGTTGTCAGAGGTCAAGTTGCAGTTGATGTGAAGGTCTGGTTCTGCTGGGTTCTTTTTATACACAAACACTAACTGATTGATCAGTAACTGATCACAGGTGAGGCTGTAATCTAGGATTGGTGCATCATATGACAAGACGACAAGACTTTTGTCTTGCCAAAATCTGACCTTTCTGTGTTCATTAAATGATCAATCTTTCTTCAGTGAAGAACATTTATTTTAGTTTATTGATCATAATTTGGGAGGGTTTTAGCTTCATATGAGACATTTCTAAAACCAATCGATTCATTTAAAGTCAAGTTATAAACTTTTGTTTCTACAAAATGGATAAACAAGACTTTTGTCAGGGACTGTAGACTCAGGAGCAGAACAAGGACTAGACTCAGAGCTGGTGTGTGTGTTGTGACTCGTGTGTGTGTTTGTGTGTTGTGACTCGTGTGTTTGTGTGTGTGTTTGTGTGTGTTTGTTGTGACGTGTGTGTGTGTGACGTGTGTGTGTTGTGACTCGTGTGTTTGTGTGTTTTTCAGGAGGCGTTCACAAATGCCATCACTGACCTGATCTCTGAACTGTGTGTGTGTGTGTGTGTGTTGTGACTCGTGTGTGTGTTGTGACTGTGTGTGTGTTGTGACTCGTGTGTTTGTGTGTTTTTCAGGAGGCGTTCACAAATGCCATCACTGACCTGATCTCTGAACTGTGTGTGTGTGTGTGTGTGTGTGTGTTTGTGTGTGTGTTGTGACTCGTGTGTGTGTTATGACTCGTGTGTGTGTTGTGACATGTGTGTGTTTGTGTGTTTTTCAGGAGGCGTTCACAAACGCCATCACTGACCTGATCTCTGAACTGTCGCTGCTGGAGGAAAGATTCCGAGTCGCCATCAAAGACAAACAGGAAGGAATCGAGTGACATCACTTCCTGTTTCCTCTTTGTTTGTTTGTTTGTAAATAAAGGTCATGTGACGTTTGGACTCAGATCGTCTTTTCTTTTTCTTCTTTTTTATTTTTGAATACCCCCACCAGGTCACTCAGGTCAGAGCTCAGGTCAGAGGTCAGGACTCAGGTCAGAGATCAGGACTCAGGTCAGAGGTCAGGACTCAGGTCAGAGCTCAGGTCAGGACTCAGGTCAGAGGTCAGGACTCAGGTCAGAACTCAGGACTCAGGTCAGAGCTCAGGTCAGGACTCAGGTTAGAGGTCAGGACTCAGGTCAGAGGTCAGAGCTCAGGTCAGGACTCAGGTCAGAGGTCAGGACTCAGGTCAGAGGTCAGGACTCAGGTCAGGCCTCACACTGGTACCAGCACATGCGTGTGCGTGGGCTCAGTGTGGTGATACTGTGAGATGTTGAGGGTCGTTGATGTTACAGGTTGGACTTTAGTTCTCAGTTAAAGCTGCTGGACTCTCGTGGTCTTTGTGAGTGTTTCACTCTGACTTCAAGTCAATTTGGAGGCTCCACTCAACAAATGTTGAGAAATATCAGCAAAACAATTGAATCAATTACCTATGTTCATTAATTAATAATGAATGACACAGTTGATCTGAAGGTTGGTAAATGCTTGTCCACATCAGTGACCTGCATCTGGAAATGACATGACTGAAAATAACATCACTGTTCACCAAAACAAACTGTGGTTTATGAATATTTATTGAGCAAGTGAAACAGAAGCAGTTAAATATTAAATCTGTAAATGAGTGCAGGTCGCTCTGAACTGGAGTCTAGAAATGTGAGATTAAACACAACTTTGAAGAGTTTATCTAAACTTCTGCGTTGAGTCTAAATGGATAAAGTTTGTGGTTGTGTGACAGTGACACGTACGACCCGGGAGCGTGGACATGTCCAGTCTCCATGTGCTCCTCACACGTCCAATGAAGGTTTGAGTTTCTCAGGACGTCGGTTCTGAAAAATCAAACGCAAAGAAACAGACAAAGGTCACATGATCTGATGGATGTTCCAGGCTCAGTCGGCGTCAGGCTGAGGGACGTTCTCCTCTGTTCCAGAAGATCAGACGACATGTGTCTGTGTCTGTGAGGTCGAACTGCAGCTCACAGATTAAGACTCAATCAAAAAGACGATGTCTGCAAAAATACTAATGTTTAAATTTGGAAAAAGTATGAAAGCTTCACTTTCAAATCAGATCAGCTCCAGGTATTTGAATAAAAACAGGTCCAGCGACGGGCGCAGCTTGAACAGACGGAGAACTCGGGCGTCGTCCCTTTTGTTCGGCTCAACTACATCTGGAACATTCTGAGCTGAACTGCTTCAGTGATCTTCTGATGAACTGAGATCTGAACGACCTGGTCAGAACTGGTGATCTGCGAAACTCACAAAACTCTGTTGAGGTCTGTTTTCCTTGTCTTAAGTCTTAAGATAAGCGGGAAAACTGACCAATGGTGCGTCTGCGTGTGGACTGGGGGGCGGGGTTTATGACGTAGATCAAATATTACAAACTATGAACATGAACAGTTTTACACAAAGTTTTCACTTGACATTTACACATCAGTGTTAAACACACTGGTCATAGTTCAACTGAGTGAATTGAATTTCATTTCTTTCTTTCTCTGGAGAAAGTTCATTGGCTTGAGATTCAGAAATGATTCCATCAAAATCCCAGAGTGTCTTTAATTTGTCGATTATCGTCGGTGAACAAACTTCGGTCAGTTGATTTATCAATAGGTGAAGCTTTGTAGAAAAGTGAGTTTCGGGGTCTGTGTGTGTGTTTCCTCATGCAGGGACTGGACGAGCTCAGGAAATCTGGTTTGGGCGACAGGTCCGAGATCAGGAGGTTCAAGCAAGTGGGGGTCAGAGGTCAGTCCTCTTACAGGACTCAGGTCAGAGCTCAGGTCAGGACGGGACTCAGGTCAGAGCTCAGGTCAGGACGGGACTCAGGACGGGACTCAGGTCAGGACGGGACTCAGGTCAGGGCTGAGTTCAGGACGGGACTCAGGTCAGGACGGGACTCAGGTCAGGGCTGAGTTCAGGACGGGACTCAGGTCAGAGCTCAGGTCAGGACGGGACTCAGGTCAGGGCTGAGTTCAGGACGGGACTCAGGTCAGGACGGGACTCAGGTCAGGGCTGAGTTCAGGACGGGACTCAGGTCAGGGCTGAGTTCAGGACGGGACTCAGGTCAGGACAGGACTCAGGTCAGGGCTGAGTTCAGGACGGGACTCAGGTCAGGACGGGACTCAGGTCAGGCCTGAGTTCAGGACGGGACTCAGGTCAGGACAGGACTCAGGTCAGGGCTGAGTTCAGGACGGGACTCAGGTCAGGACAGGACTCAGGTCAGAGCTCAGGTCAGGACGGGACTCAGGTCAGGGCTGAGTTCAGGACGGGACTCAGGTCAGGGCTGAGTTCAGGACGGGACTCAGGTCAGGACGGGACTCAGGTCAGAGCTCAGGTCAGGACGGTCAGGACTCAGGTCAGTCAGGTCAGGTCAGGACAGGACTCAGGTCAGAGCTCAGGTCAGGTCAGGACAGGACGGGACTCAGGTCAGGGCTGAGTTCAGGACGGGACTCAGGTCAGGACGGGACTCAGGTCAGAGCTCAGGTCAGGACGGGACTCAGGTCAGGGCTGAGTTCAGGACGGGACTCAGGTCAGGACAGGACTTAGGTCAGGGCTGAGTTCAGGACGGGACTCAGGTCAGGACGGGACTCAGGTCAGGGCTGAGTTCAGGACAGGACTCAGGTCAGGGCTGAGTTTAGGAAGGGACTCAGGTCAGGACGGGACTCAGGTCAGGGCTGAGTTCAGGACGGGACTCAGGTCAGGACAGGACTCAGGTCAGGCCTGAGTTCAGGACGGGACTCAGGTCAGGACAGGACTCAGGTCAGGGCTGAGTTCAGGACGGGACTCAGGTCAGGACGGGACTCAGGTCAGGGCTGAGTTCAGGACGGGACTCAGGTCAGGACGGGACTCAGGTCAGGGCTGAGTTCAGGACGTGACTCAGGTCAGGGCTGAGTTCAGGACGGGGCTCAGGTCAGGACAGGACTCAGGTCAGGATGAGGCTGAGTTCAGGACGGGACTCAGGTCAGGGCTGAATTCAGGATGGGACTCAGGTCAGGTCAGTGTCAGCTCAGGTCAGGTCAGCTCAGGTCAACACTTCACACACTTTAAACAAACACTTTACACACAGATTGAAAGAGTTGAAACAAAGTGTGTGTTTTTCTGTTTTTATTTGTCCCGTACGTCCTGTGAACATCAGGAGTTCCACAGCGTCTCGCTCCGTTACACTCATCAAACTCTCCTGTTTGTTTCCGTGGAGACGTCACGGCTCTGTCTGGAATGTTCCACAGTGTGACTTTACACTTGTTCAGTTACAGGAGGTTTTCTCCCCAAAACACATCTACATATAAAAACAGAAGACGTCCTGACCGTGAACGCCGTCGCCTCTCCGCAGATCTGACCTGGTCTCCATGGAGACAGAAAGGTTTAATGCCACACTGTGGAACATTCCAGAGCAATAACATCTCCATGGAGAAAAGTGTCATTAATGAAACACAGTAAACATCCTCATATTTAAATCAATCAATCAATCAATAAATGAGCCTGTGTCTCTGAGCAGGTGAAGGACCAGGCTGTACTCGAGTACTTTTACTCCTGAGTGAGAACTTGACTACTCGAGTACTTTTACTTCAGTCTTTTAAGTGACTCTTGTGTTTGTTTGTGGTTGAATATTTGGCCTCGATAACAAAGATTCACTCACACTTTAATGTTCATTATTTTATTCCTGTAACTCATAAAACTCCTCCACACTTTCTGTTTGTAGAATCGTCGTGTTTATGGTGTTTGTTTTGGTCACGTGACACGGTGCAGATGCTCCAGATGCCCTCCCAGGAGCCGCGACGAGCCGACTGCAGACGAGCCGACGAGGCTCTGTGAGGAAGGATCAGGGCTGCGCTCTGATTGGCTCACACACACAGGGCTGCTCTGTGATTGGCTCACACACACAGGGTTGCGCTCTGATTGGCTCACACACACAGGGCTGCGCTCTGATTGGCTCACACACACAGGGCTGCTCTCTGATTGGCTCACACACACAGGGCTGCTCTCTGATTGGCTCACACACACAGGGCTGCTCTCTGATTGGCTCACACACACAGGGCTGCTCTGTGATTGGCTCAGAGGGGGAGGAGTCTCTGGGCTCCTGGTCACACGTCGGCTCCGCCCACTGTGACTGTGACCTCTGACCTCAGAGTTAAAGTTTGTTTTCCTCTGTTGTCATGGAGACAGTGCATGGCGGTGACTGTGCTGTTGTCGTGGAGACACTTTGCTGACGATGGTTTTCCCGTCTCTGTCGTCACGGAGACGGAGTGCGGCGGCGGTGGGCGTGTCGTCGTCAGGGAGACAGTGCACGGCGATGGTGACGGTGGGCGTGTCGTCGTCAGGGAGACGGTGCACGGCGATGGTGACGGTGGGCGTGTCGTCGTCAGGGAGACGGCGCGCGGCGATGGTGACGGTGGGCGTGTCGTCGTCACGGAGACGGCGTGCGGCGATGGCGACGGTGGGCGTGTCGTCGTCACGGAGACGGCGTGCGGCGATGGCGACGGGCGTGTCGGAGCCCGTGCGCGGCCTCCACGGCCTCCTGGATCAGACACTGACAGAAGCCGTAAACGACGAGAGCGAAAAGAGTCAAAGGGACGAGACTCACCAACGCCACGCCGAGCCACAAACGAGCCGTCATCAACAGGTAAATCCCCAGAGGAAGAGACGAGAAGTACACCTGAGAAAAAAGAAGAAGAAGAAGAACACCTGAGAAAAAAGAAGAAGAAGAACACCTGAGAAAAAAGAAGAAGAAGAAGAACACCTGAGAAAAGAAAGAACACCTGAGAAAAAAAGAAGAAGAAGAACACCTGAGAAAAAAGAAGAAGAAGAACACCTGAGAAAAAAGAAGAAGAAGAAGAACACCTGAGAAAAAAGAAGAAGACACCTGAGAAAAAAGAAGAAGAAGAAGAACACCTGAGAAAAAAGAAGAAGAAGAACACCTGAGAAAAAAGAAGAAGAACACCTGAGAAAAAAGAAGAAGAAGAACACCTGAGAAAAAAGAAGAAGAAGAAGAACACCTGAGAAAAAAGAAGAAGAACACCTGAGAAAAAAGAAGAACACCTGAGAAAAAAGAAGAAGAAGAACACCTGAGAAAAAAGAAGAAGAACACCTGAGAAAAAAGAAGTACACCTGAGAAAAAAGAAGAAGAGAACACCTGAGAAAAAGAAGAACACCTGAAGAAAAAAGAAGAAAAGAACACCTGAGAAAAAAGAAGAAAGAACACCTGAGAAAAAAGAAGAAGAAAACCTGAGAAAAAAGAAGAAGAACACCTGAGAAAAAAAGAAGAACACCTGAGAAAAAAAGAAGAACACCTGAGAAAAAAAGAAGAACACCTGAGAAAAAAGAAGAACACCTGAGAAAAAAGAAGAACACCTGAGAAAAAAGAAGAAGAACACCTGAGAAAAAAAGAAGAAGAACACCTGAGAAAAAAGAAGAAGAACACCTGAGAAAAAAGAAGAACACCTGAGAAAAAAGAAGAAGAAGAACACCTGAGAAAAAAGAAGAACACCTGAGAAAAAAGAAGTACACCTGAGAAAAAGAAGAACACCTGAGAAAAAAGAAGAAGTACACCTGAGAAAAAAGAAGAAGAAGAACACCTGAGAAAAAAGAAGAAGAACACCTGAGAAAAAAGAAGAAGAACACCTGAGAAAAAAGAAGAAGAAAAAGAACACCTGAGAAAAAAGAAGAAGAAGAACACCTGAGAAAAAAGAAGTACACCTGAGAAAAAAGAAAAAGAAGAACACCTGAGAAAAAGAGAAGAAGAAGAACACCTGAGAAAAAGAGAAGAAGAAGAAGAAGTACACCTGAGAAAAAGAGAAGAAGAAGAAGAAGTACACCTGAGAAAAAAGAAAAAGAAGAAGAACACCTGAGAAAAAAGAAGAAGAAGAAGAAGAACACCTGAGAAAAAGAGAAGAAGAAGAACACCTGAGAAAAAGAGAAGAAGAAGAAGAAGAAGTACACCTGAGAAAAAGAGAAGAAGAAGAAGAAGAAGTACACCTGAGAAAAAGAGAAGAAGAAGAAGAAGTACACCTGAGACAAGAGGAGAGGAGGAGAGGAGGATGTCAGACACAGACTCCTCCTCTTCCTCCTCGTCCTCTTGGTCCTCACCATGCAGAGCGCCCCCAGCAGGCAGCGTGGGACACTGCGGCTCGTCCAGGTGTGGCTCTTGGGCAGGTAGGAGTGGGCGGAGCCTGGAGGCCGGTAGATCGCACTGAGCACGCTCAGACACGAGCTGGGGTCATCGGTAACCTCCAGGACCGTGATGAGGAGACAGTCCGAGTCT